TCTGAGCCACAGTCAGCTCCAGGTCTTGTTTTTGTTGACTGTATAGAGCTTCTCCATCTTCAGCTGCAAAAAATATAATCAATCTGATTTCAGTATTGACCATTTGATGATGTCTGTATATAGAGTTGTTTCTTGGGTTGCTGCAAAAAGCTGTTTGCTCTGACCAGTGTGTCCTCTTGATAAAACCCTGTAAGGTTTTGTCTTGCTTCATTTTGTACTCCAAGACCAAACTTTCCTGTTATTCTGGTTGCCTTGGAGATGAACCAAGATCATTCTGTCATTTTTGAGATTGTACCCAAGTAATGAATTTTGGACTTTTTTGTTGACTATGAGGGCTATTCCATTTCTTCTAAGGAATTCTGTCCACAGTCATAGATATAATTGTCATCCAAATTAACTTACCCCATCCCTGTCCTTTTTAGTTCATTGATTCTTAAGATGTTGATGTTCTTCGTTGCTGTCTCCTGTTTGATCACATCCAATTTACCTTGATTTATGGACCTATCATTCAAGGTTTTAATGTGATATTGTTCTTTATAGCATTGGACTTTACCTTCACCACCAGACATATCTAGAACTGAATGTTGTTTCTGCTTTGGCCTGGCTGTTTAATTTTTTCTAGAGCTACTAGTAATTGACCTCTGCTCTTCCCCGGTTGCATGTTTGACACCTTCTGACCTGAGGGGCTCATTTCATGGTGTCATATCCTTTTGCTTTTTCATAATGTTCATGGAGTTCTCCAGGCAAGAATACTGGAGTGGTTTACCATTTCCCCCTCCAGTGGACCACGTTTTGCCATAACTCTTCACCACCACCCATCTGTCTTATGATTCCCTACATGACATGGCTCATAGCTTCACTGAGTTGCACAAGTCCCTTTTTCCGCAAGGTTGTGACCCATGACGGAAATCCTCACCTTAGCCCTGCCACAATAGGTGCTCTTAGATATTCATTTGCCTTTGTCTTCTGAGTTTCCTGACTTGCTTCATTAGATACTTTTTCTTAAATAGAAGCCAGATTTATGTCCCCAGTCCAATGTAGCACTGAGAGCTTGATATTTTCCACAGAACTGGGAGCCAAGACTAGTTGCTAAATGTGAACATACTTAGAGTCAGGAGACAGTTTACAAAGATGAGAAGGCAAACACCAGAAACAGAAACTTCTTCTCACCTTGCATTAACACTACATCTTAAATCTCATTTAGACAGACATTAATGGTTTTCATTTTACCCTAAAATTTAAATTAAAATAATGAAAATATGTTAACATTATGCCTGACATAGTATATGCATTTAAAAGCATAGATCTTTAGATAAACTTCCTTTTCCAACCTGAAACATGGAAAAAGATATTTCAACCAAGATGTAAAGTGAAGTCCTCTCATCCTAATTTAAAATTTACACAAAGCATAGAAAACTGATATTTTTTAATAAAAATCTTCTTTCAGATGGCCTTTTAAGGTAATGATTAGTAACAATTATTATTGACAATATATATTGATTGCTTACTTTTCCAGTGGCAGATAATACTACATCAGTTCAGTTCAGTTCATAATACTACATAACCTATACCAAATATTTTTCACTGGTCAGAACTATACAAGTTTACAAATGAGTCTTTTTAAGAAACTTCCATTTGTTCAACCATTTCCTTGGGAAACATCTCCAGGGCAATCTGCAGAAGAGTTAGGACTATTAAAGACTATTGACTAGTTTAACTTTGTGTATAGTCAACAAGGAGACCAATTGACTTCTAAGACACGTAGGTTAATGATTGTCTGTGAAACAGGTAATGCCCAATGTCATGATTTCAACCTGTGAATTAACATTCAGCAAATTTGGATTCCTGAGTTATTTATCAAATAAATTATTAATTACAGTGTACCCTGAGAAGATTACATTTCTGTTTATGATACTCACTCACTTCATTAGCCTTATGTATTTCTTTAGAAAGTCCTCGCAAAAAGCCATTAAAAAATAACCTATCACTATAAAGTTAAATGTGCCCTACTTTTCTAGCCAATTTCTGTTGAATTACAACTAGGTACTGAGAGTAAAGATTTGTTATAAGGAGAAATTTAATTTATGCAAAAGTATTTAGCCTTTGCTATTCAGAGCCTCTCCATACTACAAGGAAGAACATGCATTACATTAATAGTTCAGTTCAGTTCAGTCACTCAGTCTGTCTGACTCCGCAACCCCATGAATCGCAGCACACCAGGCCTCCCTGTCCATCACCAACTGCCAGAGTTTACACAGACTCATGCCCATTGAGTCAGTGATGCCATCCAGCCATCTCATCCTCTGTCATCCCCTTCTCCTCCTGCCCCCAATGCCTCCCAGCATCAGGGTCTTTTCCAATCAGTCAACTCTTCTCATGAGGTGGCCAAAGTATTGGAATTTCAGCTTCATCATCAGTCCTTCCAATGAACACCCAGGACTGATCTCCTTTGGGATGGACTGGTTGGATCTCCTGAATCCAAGGGACTCTCAAGAGTCTTCTCCAACACCACAGTTCAAAAGTATCAATTTTTCGATGCTCAGCATTCTTCACAGTCCAACTCTCACGTCCATACATTAATAGTACATAGAGCCTTTTCTCCATCCCTTGGATTTAGGTAGACTGAGTTAGTTTCTGTGTATTGAGATGGGACCATTGTAGCAAAGGGACATAATGTGTACCTTCCTGTGGCAACAGAACAACTGTAATAATTCTATGCTACTAAGCAGACTCAGATACAGACATATCAAGGTGTCAATGGTAATCTAAACTCATCAGTAGAAAAATGTACTGACAGGTTGATTGTTGCAAGAATATTTTCACTGCTCTCACATCTTTCCAAGTAGAAAAATAATAGCATGATTAAAAATGAAATAGCTTTCTGGCCCAGAGTCCTGTGTGATAGCAGTAAAACATGTTAATTTTTTGACAAACCAAAACTGTAAGATAGAAACATTTTTACTTACAGTCGAATTTGGCCCCATTTCAAAATTGGAAGTGAACTCAAATTTATAAATATTACAGTTTCCAAAATATCTGCTTTCAGACTATTTAAGCTAGTCCCAAGTTAATGAAGAGACCAAAGTCCTGTATGTCTACATTTTTAAGAAATAGATAAAATTTATAATTAAAAATATTTTTCATAAGAGGGTTTTAAGGAACCCTCACAGTAATATTTTTTATAGTGAACTGCAACACATTTTGTCTTTTTAATGTAAAAATATTGAGACTTTCATATTGGGCTTATTCATTTAAGTAATTATGGAGATTCAGTTGGGTAATCTGGTTAGGATCCTGACCTAAAGTAGAAATGCTAATATTCTTTATATGACAGATATATCTATGTGAGAATTACATACCTCAAAAAACATTGATAATTGCAAAAAAAAAGTAAATTACATTGATTTTTTTATAATTTTGTTTAAAACATTTTAAAAAGTAAAATGTTAAAATAAAAATAAAAAGAGATAAACAGCATGATGCATGAGCTTCATCCATTAAAAGTCATTATAATTGAATCACTCTGTTCTCTTTCTTCCAGTGAGATTATAATGACTCCATACAATGTAAGCAAGTGAGATTAATAATAGCATCCATCCTCATAAGCATGCCACTAAGACAGAAGATGACAGCAGAAGCAAGAGACGAAAGAACACGATGCACAAATCACTCTGACTTAGAAGACTTAAGGAAATATAAAAAGAAACTGAAAACACAACTAACAGTAGTTTTAGAAGATGTAACACGGATGGATTTGCTATCCGTAGAGCATGCAGCGTGGCATGACTCCTAACATAATGCATCTTGGGGACATCTGAGAAAGATATTAGAGGAAAAAAAGGTAGATATTAGTCCTTAGATCACTGATTGGGTAAAAGTTCTCATTCGGATGTATACTGACCAAATAACTCAATAAATCAAAGAAAATACAAAAGTTCATTTCCATCTAGATTGATTGCATTTAGGTGATCTCATACTGCCATTTTTCTCTAACAGAAAACTGGACTCATCAGTAAGTTTTGGTATTCAGTAATTCTGATGATATCAAAATCTTATCTGTTAGTAACTGTGCAGTTATTTCATTACCATAAGTTGTACCTATAATCCTTATGTATTTCTTCAGTTCTGTTCCAAACACTATTTTACTGACTTTTTCTCATTGAACTTGTTTATTTTCTAAATGTTTATCTTGGTTGCAAAAGTTGATTTGGTAGACTAGGTACAAAAAGCTAAATCTCAAATAACTTTGCAGCATTCTAAGAAACCACAATTAATTTGCTAAACTGTAATATTTGAGAATGATTATAATTTTCTACAGTCAAAAATATGTATCAAATAACTACTGCCTACCTAGAAGGCCAAATAACTACTGGCCTAGAAGAGGTGTCAGCAGACTTTTTCTCTAAAGAGACAGGTAGTAAAAATTTTCAGTGTTGGACAATATCATCTCTGCCTGCTATGATTTGAATGTTTTCCTCTGAGATTCGTGTGCTTAAATCTAATTTCCCAATATGTAGTTATTAGGAGTTGAGTACTTTGGATAAAGGACCTGGTGAGGTCCTAGACCTGGAAGAGAGCCCTCATCTAACCATGCTGGCAGTCACATTGGTTTCTAGCCTCTTGAACTGTGAGAGAAAAAAAAAATTCTGTTGTTTATAAGCTACTGACTCTGTGGGTTGCAACCCAGTCTGTTATAGCAGCCAAACCCAGATACTGGTTCAGCTACTCAGCAACATCATTGGGTGGAAAGTAGTGGTAGAGGACATGACTGTTTTTAAATGACTTTTTATTTTTTATATAAAAAAGAGTGATCATCAGGTTTGGCCTATTGGCTTTAGTTTGCCCACCAATGGTTTATAAAACCCTGAAAGTAACAAAATACTTTAACTATAATTTTGGATTCAAATTTACAAAAGGCAAATCTGCTTTCTATATAATATATTGCCTTTCCCTGATAGTTACATTGTAAGTATAATACACTGAAGTACTTTAAATGCATTGTCTAATGAGAGTTTCACTTTTTCTTTATTAGAACACAGATGATATCCTCAAACTCAAAATCCATTATATTTTGTAAAGCCATGCTGATATGAAGTAAAAATGTACACAAATATTAAACATTAAATATAAATTGTATACTATTGTTCAGTTATAGTCAGACACATTATTACCCTAGCTGGACACTACTTAGGTTGAAGATATTGCACTTAGAAATGTCACCACAGGTATGTTTGTTCACTGTAGTATGATAGTTTTTTAAACCCTTTCTGACTTTATACACTGACTCATGATGTCATGCTGCAATTTAGTCAGATTGTTAAGAAGTATTTGTCTAGCAGCCACTTCCTCTGATCAGAAGTTGTAACCTATCGACCAGTTTTTAATGATTCTAAGTTAAAAGAGTTATTCAGAATAATAATTTTTAAAATTTTGTTTCAAGATTTAACAGCCTAGCAATAGAGTTTTTTTTTTTATTTCTATCTATTTTTAAGGGAAATACTATTCACTCTTTTGAGAAGCAGAATACTTCACTGCTTGTCAGAATTGCCCAGTGCTCCACAGTAAATAGAAGTTTTCATTCAATTAATAAAAAGTGTAAAGAAGCATAAAATTGTAAAAGTTACCACATAATGCATGATTTCCAAGATTTATTCTAGTTCTCTCTCACAGAGTTTAGAATAATGAGCCTCTTACTTCCCTCATGTTACTTTCAGAGACTTATATTGGTATTTTATTTTTTATAACATTTTCCCAGTTATTTATTCTCATCAGTTAAAGTTGGATAGAAAATGCATTCTTCATCTAACTTCTGATGATACACTTCTGTGCTTATACATCACTCTCACTTTTCTTTATGGTATCTGTAGGTAACAAAAGGGGTTTTGTGAATGTATATTTTGTCAGGGTCCTTTCCTGAAAGTAGGGCATTTAATTATGTAATTATTAGAATCTTCTGAAGGCTCAGGTCAGTGTAGTTAGGGAGCAGCAGCATAGATACTCATTGGTAAAAAACATCTATTTAAACTATTTTCTTGAATATATGTATGAAAATCATAGAGGTAAACATATATTGAGTGCATATAGTATAAACAAGTTGATTTTATTTCAAATTCTGTTACCACTAACTTCCAGATTAAAACTGAAGAGATGTTTCAGCCAGCTAATTTGAATTCAAAAGGATTATTATTATATACTGAATGGCATGATATGTTAAGATATGTTATAGTTTATACTAAAAAGGAACTTGAAACCTAATTTAATAGCTTAATTTTAATTCCCAACATTTTGAGTAGTTCAGTTCTGGTTTGTACCTGTGTTGCATTGGATGTGTCAATTTTAATTTTCTCAGGTTTAAGGAACTCTTGCTTCTTCTATTAATGATCATAAGTTTGTGTATCCTCATTCACCTTTTGCATAGGTTATCTAAGAACTTGTAGTCAGTCAGTTCAGTGGTTCAATCGTGTCTGACTCTTTGTGACCCCATGGACTGCAGCACACCAGGCTTCCTTGACCATCACCAACTCCCAGAGCCTACTCAAACTCATGTCCGTTGAGTCAGCGATGCCATTCAACCATCTCATCCTCTGTCATCCTCATCTCCTCCCGCCTTCAATCTTTTCCAGCATGAGGGTATTTTCCAAAGAGTCGGTTTTTCTCATCAGGTGGCCAAAGTATGAGTTTCAGCTTCAGCATCAGTCCTTCCAATGAATATTCATGACTGATTTCCTTTAGGATTGAGTGATTTGATCTCCTTGCAGTCCAAGGGACTCTCAAGGGTCTTCTCTAACACCGAAGTTCAAAAGCAACAATTCTTCTGCGCTCAGCTTTCTTCATAGTCCAACTCTTACATCCATACATGACTACTGAAAAAACCATAGCTTTGACAAGATGGAACTTTGTTGGCAAAGTAATGTCCTTGCTCTTTAATATGCTGTCTAGGTTTGGTCAAAGCTTTTCTTCCAAGGAGCAGGCATCTTTTAATTTTATGGCTGAAGTCACTGTCTGCAGTGATTTTGGAGCCTCCAAAAATAAAGTCTTTCACTGTTTTCATTATTTACCCATCTATTTGCCATGAAGTGATGGGACCAGATGCCATTATCTTAGTCTTTCGAGTGTTGAGTGTTAAGCCAACTTTTTCATTCTCCTCTTTCACTTTCATCAAGAGGCTCTTTAGTTCTTCACTTTCTGTCATAAAGGTAGTGTCATTGCATATCTGAGGTTATTGATATTTCTCCCAGCAATCTTGATTCCAGCTTGTGCTTCATCCAGCCTGGCATTTCTCATGATGTACTCTGAATATAGTTAAATAAACAGGTTGACAATATAGAGCCTTGACGTACTCTTTTCCTGATTTGGAACCAGTATGTTATTCCATGTCCAGTTCTAACTGTTGCTTGGTGACACGCACAAAGATTTCTCAGGACACAGGTCAGGTGGTCTGGTATTCCCATCTCTTTCAGAATTTTCTGCAGTTTATTGTGATCCACACAGTCAAAGGCTTTGGAGTAGTCAATAAAGAAGAAGTAGATATTTTTTCTGGAACTCTCTTGCTTTTTC